TGAGCAGGAGCTATTGGGTGGAGAGCAGAGTACCTTGGGTATGGTCGCAACTCAGTCTATTTAAGCATCATTTCACTGTGCCTGAGAGTAGGCGTGCCACCCATGAGGCCCTGGTAAGGATTCTTGGCTGGGCTCCAGCACAGTTCAGTGGGCAGGGCATTGACCTTGAGGTGGGCATTAGTCATCCAGGTTGCTTGAGTAAATCTCTAAGCCAGACCCAGGAGGTGTAGCCACTGGGGAAACCTAGAAGTCCTTCAGGCTCCTAGGCCAGTGACCACCGTCTGAAGCAGGCACAAGAGCCCTGAGGGGTTAGAGGCAGTGGCTCGATTACCCAGGAAGAGGTAAATGTGAGAGCAACAGGAAGTGGAGGCTGGAGGGTCAGAGCATGGGTGCACTGTGCATGTGACCATGAGTGGGGCCCTGCCCTACTTCAGGGTTTCTATTCCTGCTGTCCTGTGTAGCTGCTTGGCCTGCATAAAGGGTACGTGTTTCCTTTGTGTGCCTGGATCTGAGTCTGCAGTCTGGGCTTGCTCACTTCTGCAAGTGAGAGGGGACATTGCTGTGTCCCAACTCTCCACCTCCGGCCCAGCAGCAGGTTGACTCAGAGCCCAACCCTTGGACAGGCTAGCCCTGTGCCTGAACCCCCAGCAAGTCTGAGTGCAGAGTGGAGCCATGTGTTCTGTCAGGGCAGACACGTGTTTGGCTGCTGGCTGGGAGGCAGTTGTGCAGCCTGGAGCTGGAGGACTGGGGGTGCAGAGGGGCTGTGGGAGGAGCCCCCACTGCTGGAGAGCTCTTTTCCATCCTGCTGGGCAGAATGCTGCGATCAGCAGCTAACCAACTCACAGGAGCCATTGCCAAATGTTTAGGAAATTGCAAGCTGTTGAACTGTTAGTAGCTTAAGTCAGCCCTAGTGTGAGCATTTACTCTGCAGAAACCAGCAGGTGTTCCTGGCAGGGTACCCTCTCTCACAAGGCTGGCTTACTGCACACCACTGGCCCACTGGCTGTGAACTGGTCCTGCTAACTGGGGTGAGTCAGGGCTCCATCCCCCAAACCTAGAAACTGGTGGGGTGTGGCACAGCTTTGTGACCCCTCAGGCCTCCCCCACTACCCCCTCTGTGTGCCCAAGTGTTATCAACTGAGGCCCTGGCCTGGGTGCCAGGGACCATGTGGCTTTTGGCATCTGCAAGGCACTTCCAACTTTCAAGCCCCCACCCCATTACCCATGGTGCCCTGCACCATGCCTCAGTTCCCCTCTTTGCCTGCTGGTTGTGTAGGGACCTTTCTGCCCCCTTGGCCTGGAGCTTTACCCCCAAACTCCCCTCCTTCACCTTCCCCAGACCTGCACAGCCAGGCCAGAGCTGTACCTGCCAGCACTGGAAGGGCGCACAGAGGTCCCCAGCCTGAGGCCACCTCATCTGCTCCCAGGCCTGTGAACCCACAGGTGCCATCTAGCAAGGCCCTCTGGAGATAAGGCTGATGGTGTTCAAGCACCCCTGAGGTGAGGAATAACTCCAAATCCACAGAAACTTGGGGCCAGACATGCCAGGCTCGCTGGGACTCTCATCTGTGGCACCTACCTCCCACTTTTCTTGCTCATTCATTCATTCACTCATTTCTTCTGAACCATTCACAGTAAGTTGCAAATATGACCCTATACACATAAAGGAGGTATGTTTCTTAGATCAAGGGCCCTATTTGCCTGGGCAGAAGGAGCAGTGCCTGAGACAGACACCTACCTGGCCTTATAGTCAGGGCCCACTGAGCCCTCCTGACAGGGCAGGGCCAGATGGCAGAGGTGAGGCTACCTGGACCAAGTTTGCACAAGCTGCTCCCTCCTGAGGCTAGATAAAGCCCAACCTGTCCAGGGCCACAGGGCTGAGAACGGAGCTGTGACTTTGGAGGTGACCTCAGAAACCCAAGAGGACCTATGAAGGAGGGTGTGGAGGCTGTGAGTGGCTGGGCCCACTAGTGGCCCTGGTGTGTAGATGGGTGCAGGAGCACAGCTCCCCAGGTTGGTAGAAAGGTCTCCCCCTCAACTGAGGAGAATGGCTGCTCAGAGGCACCTTGCATGTAGCTGGGCCAGCTTCAGTGGGTGGAAATGGGGGTGCCTGGTCCAGAAAGGTGGGCTGAGGCTGTGTATGTGGGCGAGCACCCTGTGGACCTGGACAGCCTGGCCTGCTTCAGCCGTGAAGAGCAGCACGTGTTGTGTCCTGCAGACTCTTACCCTTTTACACTTACTGGGAATCCCATTTCTTTGTAAGTTCCACAGGACAGCAACTTGTGTATGCCTTCTTGACTGCCCAGAAAACTTCCTAATGTGTAGGCATGCATGGAATGCTGGCTGGCTGGCCAGTTGACTTATTGATAGTTGACTTGTTGGTTGGTTGGCTGCTAGGTTGTCTGACTGATTGGTAGTTGGATAGCTGGTTGACTGGGTGGCCAATTGGTTGGTTAGCCATTTGGCTGGCTAGTAGTTGATTGGTTGGCTGGGTGGGTGGGTGGATGATTGGGGTAGCTGGGTGGTTGGTTGGTTAGTTGGTGGTTGGTTGGCTGGCTGTTTGGCTAGTTGTTTGGGCAGGCAGGTGGGTTAGTAGATAAACAGGCAACTGAGCTATAAGCCCCGTGGGTAGGCATAGACACAGGGACTCCCACCTTACTTCCCATGGGAAATAGGCCATCCTCTGGCCTCAGACATGAACAAGGAAGTCCTGGAGAGACCTCATCTCTCCAGGCCCTACTGGAGATGAAGGCATGACACTCCCTGGCCTCTAACATAGCTTGCAGGCAACTTCTCTGAGCAGCTAAGAAACAGGCTCTGGGTTCAGGCTGGGGTCTTACCTGGGTGCAAAAGTAGGTGGTCAGCCATCCCATGTGTTTGTGATTGGGATGGTATCTAGGACACAAGATTCAGCTCCACAGGGTTTTCCAAGAAATGGGGCTTTCAGAGCTAAAAACAGCCACCTGAGGATGAGAAAGGGTGACAGATCCCCAGCCCAAACCACTAGTAGGGCTTCATTGTAGAGTCAGGGTAAGGTCCTCCTCCCAATGCCCCCTCAGAGAGGAGATGGCTCCAGTATGCATGTGTGAAGCCGAAAGTGTTGCCCTGCCACCTCAGGGTTTATCTGTGTGAATGTGTATTTTAACCTTCACTTCTCCTTCCCCTCACTGGTTCTCCTCCTGCAGTTCACGTAACTACTCAACAGCCCTACACCAGGCCTTTGGTGTCCATGCTCTGTTTCCCCAGTGTTTCTCCCCTCAGGCAGGTACCCACCCTGAACCTGCTGTCCCCCAGCAGTGAGTGCAGGGCTCAGTGCAGACCTCAACTTTAGCTCCATCAGAACGACCCCAGGGCCAATGGTGCCTCTGGCTTCTAGTGGAGCTGGAAGCCTGTGTTCCTCACAGTTCCCAGTGATGGTGCTGCTGCTGATCCAGGGGGACCACCTCTAAGAACCACTGGATACGGCCAGGGACATGGTTCCCCACAGAGGTTGATGGGCCCTTTGCTGCTTGGTTCAGAGGGAGGGTAGGCAGGAAAGCCTTGAGGTCTGAGTGTGGTTCAAGCCTGCCTGTGGGAGACCCACTGAGGGCCAGGGGAGAGAAAGCTCCCACAGGTTGGTCTAGCCAGTGACAAAAGGACACTGGCTCCTGGGCAGCCTGGACTCAGCTGCAGTTAGTTCTCTACCCCAGTCCCACAGCCCTATACCCTTCATCACACTGGGGCCTTACACATTGACCCCAGGAACTCTGGGACCATCTGGACATAGTACCAGCTGGTTCTGTGTCTTGGTCTTGGAACTCTGTTGGCTCCACAAGGAAAGGGGCAGTGGACACCTGGAGGCCTATAGCTGTTGAGAGTGGGGACTGGAAGGGTTCCCAGCTAAGCCTGTGAAATTGGCAGACGTCAGGAGCTCTGACTGGCCCCAGCCACCTGGATTGCTTTCTGGATAGGTCGCAGAGCTTCCATGTGCTCATGCTGAAATGCCTGGAAGGTGGGGGAGAGGTGTACATGAATTCATATTCTCACAGCCTGCAGTGTCCCCCACATGCTGACAGGGACCAATGACCTTGGTGTGTTTGTGAAGAGACCAAGCATGGTGTTACAAGAAGGCATAGGAGTGTTCCAGGTCAAAGAGGTCAGAGGCCACAAGCCTGGCTGTGTAAAGGATTGTCCCTGCCAGCCTGGTGAGGCTGGGGCATCTGATGTCTAATACCTCCCTCACCTTTGTGCAGGTGTGAAGTTTTTCCTGCTAAAAGATGCATATGTGCAGGGTTCTGGCTCCAGCCCTTCCTGGGCACTTATCCTCACTAGCCCTGCTTTCTTTCTTTAAAGTGGGAAGGAAAGTTTCTCCAAGCACTGGGGCCAGGAAGTGCCACTCGGCTGGCCACCCAGATGCTTGATCGGGCCCAAAGCCGTGTGGTGTGTCAGCTCCGTTTTGCAGATGGCAAGCGGAGGGGTTAAGAAGTAGCCCAAGGGCACACGGTGAGGGAGTTGTAGTGCCAACTGAAGGAGGCACGGTGGGAGCAGAGAATCTTTGTGGTGGCCTGGTAATGACTGAACAGGGAGGGAAGAGGGTTGGCAGGAAGAGAGCCAGGCTGTGGGTGGAGACAGAAGCCCTCACAGACCACCTGGATCTTCACACTCAGCATCTTGGGGAAACGAACAGGACTGATGGCAGCTTGAGTGCACTCTGTGCTGTTTGCCCCTCTGGGCATTTCTTCCCCTCCTGTCCCAATGGCTTTCCCCACTGGCTCTGCAGTGCTCTGCCCCTCCTGCTGTTCCTCCAATCAGACCCCAGGCCCTCAGCTCAGAAAGATTTGTCTCCCACCTTGATAGCATGTCAGGCCCTAGACCAGTCAAGTTCCAGTGGCTGTTTGGGGAAGGCCTGGGGCTGGGGTGGAGCCAGGTCTGGTGCAGGGGGACATTTAGCCCTGGCCAGGAGCCCTGCTGTCTGTGGGTCAGGTTCAGGTTTGTCTGAGGCCATCCCTTCCTATCCTCAGATGAAGGTTGCTGTGTCCAGAGGGGGTGACCGGAACAGTGACGACGATAGTGTCCTCGAAGCCACCAGCTCCCGGCACAGCAGCTCCCGGGACCAGCTCAGTGATGTGAGTACCCAGCCCCACTTCCCAGGTGATGTCCTGCTGAAGTCATTAGGAACCTTGGCCCAGCTAGTGCATTCGTGTGGAAGCTGCATATGAGCATTTGCCGTTTTACCTTCACCAAAGTGTGACTTTGTACTAATTAGGACCTTCCCATTAGAACAGATTTAAATGAAGAACAGCAATTAGGAGCTGACAGGATCCCGTCTGGAATACTAAACCTACCACAGTGTGGCATATCAGCCCCTGCACTAGACCAGCATGGAGTGGGAGGCCAGGCTGGACCCCAGCAAGCTTCAGGTTGGACACACTCATGCAGTGTCCACAGGGGCAAGAGAGAGGCAGAGTGGAGTGGAAACGACTCCACAAATGTATTTAGATGTCAGATTTATCATTAAAATGTCAGGGGACGGTGTTTTCACCGGCCTGAGCCAGGCTGCCATTAACCTTGACCACAGCAGGATCGACAGCCCAGTCATCTTGATGTGGGTCCTGCGGTGCATGGACTGGCTAGTCAGAGCAGAGGCACGCTTGCAGTGACCTCAGCTGGGGACACACCTTCAGTGTCCCTGAGACGGGGCCCTGGACAGCCAGCCATGGGGTCAGGTACAAGGCTGGCCTGGTGGGCACAGCCATGGTAGACAGGACCAAGTTTGAGGGCTCAGACTCCAGGCTTGGCAAATGATGGGGCACAGGCCCTGCCAGGGCTGGGGTGGAGGCAGAGGGGCCACCAACCCAGAGTTGGCTCAGGAGGTGACCATTAACACCCCTGCCCAGCTCCTGAGCTGGCCTCAGAATGGTGCGTTTTTGCAGGGCTGGTCTCATTATTATTTAAATCGGGACCTGGGGGTGCAGCCGCAGGCACAGAGGGAGGCGGAATTGCCAGGCCCCAATCTTGTTGCCACAAAATGGGAAAATAGGCTGGTAATTGTCTGGGGCCGAGAGAGGGCTGGCCCTAGCTGGTCTGCCTCTAATTGCCACCCAGGATGAGTGAAGATGTATTCTGAGCACAGCTCAATCTGAGGCTGAAAACTCACCATTCACAACCCCACCCCAAACCTTTCAGCCAGGACTAGGGCTCTGTCTGGGGATGGAGGGGGTCTCCCCACTCTGCAAGAGGGAGGGATAGGTTTGAGGGGAGGGGACGGCACCAGCATGCCAGCCTCCACTCCCCTCTGCTGACTCTCCCGCTCTGTTCTCTGTCCCCTGTTCCCCTGCATCCCCATAGAACGTTCATCCCCTATCCCACTCAGGAGCCAGGCAGCCATAATCCACAGTAGTTCTCTGTCCTCTTTCTCATGGCCTTCCTGCCACAGCCTGTACAACATGGGGCTGTGGGAGCCCTGCAGATTGAACATACAGCCTGGGAGACACACTGCTCTGTCCTGGTGGAGCTCATGGTGCCCACTCAAACCAGAGGGAGTCCTTACCCACGTTGCCCAGGCCCCAACCTCCCCCACCATGGCCACTGGCTGCCTCGAGGCCCCCTGGACTGTCAGGCCCCTGCTTCAAGGTCTACTGCCACTGCCTCCTTTAAGAAGTCTTCCTGTGGGCCCCAGGCAGGGGAGAGGCACCAAGGGATGGCCAAGGGTCTTATCCTAGGCTGGGGTAGGCAGGTGACACACATGCAAGTGGAAGACAGGGCCTGTATACCCAAGTCTTCTTGCTTCACCTTTAGGAATGGCTTCAGCATCCTGGCTGAAGGATGGGTTGTGGACAGGTCAAAGGCATTCTGTGGAACAGCCTCCACAGGGCACAACCCTTCTCCTGAGCCACCATACCCCTCCCAGAACTGCTGCAGAAACATCAGGGCTGGCTGAGCCAGAGGTGGCTGTGCTGCTCTAAGGAGGGCCTTGAGGTGTCCCAGGTGCAGGAGCCAGCCAGGCTCAGCTGTCCATCCTTCCACACCAAGAGTCTGCTGGCCTGTCTTGGGTCATATTGCTTAACCTGAGGCCATGGGGCAGGCCGTGGTCCTCAAGAGGAGGTATTCTTAACTCAGGCTGCAACTTGTCACTGACTTGTCTGCTTCTTCCCCTTGCAGAGCTCGGCACAGGCGGTTTCCGGGAGAGGCTACTCTGTAAGTCTCCCAACCCCTCCTCCCTCATTGTCCCTGCCTTGGGCCATCCCAGCACACCTGCCCTGCAGCTCCCTCACCTGGAGGCCACACCACCCTGGGATCTGTCCCTCCAGATACCTGGCTGGTTCTGCCCCAACACCTGTGGGGCAGGCAGAGGGTGGACATGCCTGGGTCAAGATTGGTAGGGAGCATTTGGGTGGGGGTACTTACAGGTGCCATGGGGTGCCAGAAAGGGGGAGCGGGCTCCCTGTTGGTTGGCCAGGCTGCTACCTCTGGGGTCTCACTAGGCACCTGGGGAGTGTTTGGTGTCACAGATGCCCATGGTATGAGCCACTATCCTCCAGAGCCCTGACCCACCATATCCCTCTCAGCCCACTGCAAGGTTCATGGGTTCAGGCTGGACACTGAGAGGACGACACCCAGGGAGCAGCACCACCTGTGGGAAGACAGGTGGGGAGACGCATGTGCGGCCTGCATGACAGGCTTATGGCCCATGGAAAGCAAGCTGCGTGCTTCTTCCACCTGCTCTGTAGGTGCAGGGTGGCAACAGCAAGCTCCTGCCACACCCCTGTGCCTGCAGGTACACCCAGGTTCCCCAAGCGACCAACACCCTGTCCAGCAGGATCCACTGCAGGGACAGCCTTGAAGCCAGTGCTGACTTTCCCTCTGTGCTTGAGGTGGCAGTGGCTCCTGGCGCTGGCACTCACATGCCCTCGGAGCAGCCCCTGCGCCCTCCTCATGACTTACTTCATTTTCCCTAAGTGCCAGGAGGAACGCTAATGACATCATAAAACCCAGAGCTCCGTAGAAGCCATTTCTGCAGATTTACAGCCGCTTCGGCTCATTGCGGCCAGGGCCTGGACTCCGCCCGCCTCATCCCTGAGCCCCTGATTTACAGCCTGCCTGCCCATTCTCTAAATCACAGCAGCTTTTATGGGGTGTGTAATTAACCCATTAATTACCCAACAGGGCCAGTGGGGCAGCATCTAGGTCTCCACCCCAGGGCTCTTGCTGGGCACTGGAAAGAAAACTAGGACTGAGCCATGGTGGAGACCATGGCTTACAGGCTGAGTGGTCCCCACACAGGCCAGGGCAGTGATGCAGCCACCTGCCTGGGTTGGGGGAGGGGCTTGGCCTGGTCCCGCCTCATCTGCACCCCCAGCCTCCCTACCCTTCCTCCCCCATTCCCCACCTAAGAGTAAAGAACCCAGGGCTCGTCTTGGGTTATTCCCTCAACCAGGGTTTGGCTGCATAGTCCTTGGGCCGTTGACCTGGGGGTGCAATGTAGGCTGGGTGGTAGGACTCTCTGGAGGTGGCTGTCCAAGGGGACCCTTCCTCGGGGACCTAAACCCTCCTTTGCAGCATGTGGCCTTGAGCAGCCTTGTTCTTACTTGTACACTGGGGACAGCAGCCCTCTTGAGGGTGGTTATGGATGCCCTTGACCGCAGTGGGCTCTTTTCCATGCAGTGTCTGGACCTGTCACAGCTCCTGTGAGTAGTGCTGTGGTCAGGGCTCTGCCAGACACCGGGGTGCAGCTGTGAACAAGTTGAACCCAGGCCTCTGTTTGGAGAGTTCCAGAAACCACCACAGTCCTGATGCTGTGTCAGAGCGTGGCAGTGGGGAGAGCCATGGAGCCCTGTGCCAGGACAGGCTGAGGCAGCTGGAACCAGAGCCAGCCATCCATATCTAGGAGGCTTTTGGGCAGAGGGGTTGAGAGCTGAGTCCCATCTCTGTACCTCAAGTTCCCAGGGGGGCTGGGAAGGAAGAGTGTGGTCCCTGGAGCAGGAACCCGGTCTCTGGGGCTCTACATGACAGTGGCACAATGGCAGAGGTTCTGCAGCTGACCCTGGTCAGCTGATCTAGAGCTCATGGGGTCAGGTGCTCTGTCCCTGTCACCAGTGAGTCACATCTGTGTCTCAGAGGAACCCAAGTAGCACCCGCCTGGGTGGTGAGGTCTCCCTGGGCTGCTAGGCCACTCTTCGGATCCAAATCCCCATTTGTCATTCAGGACTTCTCCCCCAAACACTGTTTTTTAAATGTTTTCTAAGAAAGGCTGTAATTAACTTGCCAGCTGCTTGCAGCTTAACCCCCCATGGCTGCAGCCCAGGAGCGACAGATGGTGGCAGGAAGGGAACCAACTAGCCGGCTGGCTGCACGGTTGTGGGTTCTGTCTAAGCAGTGGGCCCAGGACACCCATGATCTGCAGATGGCCATGTGTGTGCATGGAGCTCTGGCATGTGCAGGCATATATGTCAGACCCTGACATGCATAGGTGGACTTTCCAGGGGCCTGCTGTGTGTGGGGAAGCGGGGGTCCTCTGGTCAAGTGCCAGTGGTCATCCACAACCCAGTTGGCCTTGATAGCTACAGGCTGTCACTGCTGGAGGCCTCTGGCCCACTGGACGTGTGGGTTCGGATGGAAACCAGGCTACAGGCAGACAGCGGGGAATAATACCCAGTACTCTAAGAAGTGGTCCTCTCCCTGATAGAAGTCCCCAGGATGGAGCTGGAGGAGCCAGAGCCAGCCAAGATTACCTGGGCCCAAGACGGAGGCAGGGGCCTGGCTGGTCTGGGTTCAGGGCAGCTGTGATCCAGTTTTTTAATTTGGACTTCATAATGGTCCGTCAGATATGGGATACATGGGGATTGGCTGCTTGTGTGTACATAACTGTGTGTGCATAGCTGTGTGCACATACCTTTGTGTGTGTGCATAGCCGTGTGGATACCTCTATGTGCATATCTGCATGTTTGCATACCTGTGTGTGTATGCCTCTGCATACCTGCATATTCATGCATATTGGAGTGTGTGTACTTGTGTGTGTGCATACCTGCTTGTGTGTGCATGGATGGGGGAGAGGCGCACATCCCTATGTGTCACTCACATGTGGTTCTTCTGCATAACTGTGTGTTGACACATGTCTGCATCAGACATGTGTGTCTATGTATGTGGCCCTGTGTGGTGGGCTGTGTGAAGCTGTGTATACCTATCTAGAGGTGTTGTATGGCTTTCTCTGGGCTTCTGTGTGTGCACACCACACATTGTGTGTGTATATGTCTGTGTCTCCATATCCTGTAGCCCGCGTATTCCTGTGTTTATGTATGCACTGCAGTGTGCTCCTCTGGTTTCTCGGGACTCCCTGGTGCTCACTACATGGATGTGTACCTGTGGCCACATGGCATCGCGTACGGTGTGCCTGGTGCAACCCTGCTACTTGCATGTGTCAGCACCTGGGCTTCCGGCCTAAGAAGGAGCCACACACAGCACAGTGTGTGTCCTTCCCTTGCCCCACAGCAGCGCCGCACTGGGTGACACTGGCACTTGTCAACCACCTGATTTTAAAGGCCATATTTTAGTGGTTTAATTTTTTTTTTTTTTTGACTGTACTGGGGTTTGAACTCAGGGTTTCATACTTGCTTGGTGCTGTACCACTTGAGCCACTCTGCCAGCCCATTAGTGGTTTAATTTTGCCAAAATTTATCCCCAACAAGTCCCCAAGTATTGCTCATCCTCACAGTTTTTGTCTCAAGAGTTCGGCATGGCCTCCCAGCACACTTTTGCCATGGAATTAGCTAGAAAGTTATTCTTCTTTATTTGGTTAATTGCAACCAAGGACGTGGTTACCTGTCTCCCACAAACCAGGGACTTGGGGGTTTCCTTAGTGATAGAGCATCGGGAGCCACCTGCCTCCCCCGCACAGTGCCCAGAACGTTGTGGAAGTGCCAGTATCCAGCAGCACTGTGGAGGGTGATGGGCCAGAGGAGGCACAGCAGCCAGGCTGCCTCGGACAAGGTGTCTCCAGTGGTCTAGGCCTCGGGACCTACCTAACCTGGGGCAGATGTTTGATTGCTGGTGCAATCAGGTGCCCCACCTGAGGTCCCTCCTTAGGGCCCAGGGCACCTTCAGGAGCCCTGCTAGCTCAGCACTCCCTCCCCCATGGTCAGGGCATGACTGCAGAGATAAAAAAGGGACCCACTTCTTCTTCATCCCCTCCTCCTTCATCCACAGTTCATTGAGTGTCTCCTGTCCACCATCACCATGCTGAGATGTGCACACGTCTGTGTCCAGACAAGGGTGGTAAAAAAAGACATGAGTGACCGCCAACGATGGGAGGGGAGAAGTGGAGAGGCCAGGCAAGTGCAGGCCATACTTAAATGGTGCAGCCCTCGGGGCCAAGCTCCAGAGCAGCAGTGCAAAGGCCCTGCACTGTGTGGGAGCAACCTCAGTGAGGTGGGGCAGGCTGGGGCATGAGGAGAAGGCCACGAGAGGTGAGGTCCCATCGGCGGGGCCTGGGGCAGAGGCCCAGCGCAGTGAGACTCTGACTGTGAAGCAGCATCTGGGAGCCTACCAGGGTCTGCAGTAGGATGGGATGTGACCAGCAGAAAGCAGCAGCAGCAGCCTCCACCCTCACTCTGCAGCCAGTGGAGGCCAGGGTGTGTTCCTGGGAGTGCCAGCCTCAGTCCAGATGCAGATGTCTGACCTCGCCGTAGCCCTACCTGCCGAACCTGCCAGGGAAGCCCCTTTGTGTGGGTGTAACTAGCTGATCTGTTTGATTGCTTTTGAGGGATTTCTGAAAACTGATTTTAAATTGTTGAGTTGCAAGTCACTGGTTTCCCAGAAAGTCAGCTAACCTCACAGCACACTCCAGCCTGCTGCTAAGCCTGTAGTAGGCCCTTGCTGTCCTCTGCACCCCAGAGTGGGGAGGTGCCAGCAGGGCTGTGACCACTGATGTGCCTGGTGCTCAGGCAGATTCTGGGGCAGGGCTCTCCAACCCTCCTGAGATCATCTGTGATGCTGACAGGCAGGGTGACATCCCCACATCAGAAGCCCCAAGCATGGGGAGATGTTCATCTAGCACACTACATAGCAAATCACCCAGGTAGTGACTTCATGCAGCCTGTTTGAAGCTGAGTTTGCAGGTGAGGAATTCAGACAGGACACAGCTGGGCCCTCCTGGGGCCTCCAAGGCCAGGAGTGACACCATCAGAGGCACGTTCACGCAG